AATACTTCAGCGTCCCCACGTCTCAGCGCCCTAATACTTCAGCGTCCCGACGTCTCAGCGCCCTAATACTTCAGCGCCCCGACGTCTCAGCGCCCTAATACTTCAGCGTCCCGACGTCTCAGCGCCCTAATACTTCAGCGTCCCGACGTCTCAGCGCCCTAATACTTCAGCGTCCCGACGTCTTAGCGCCCTAATACTTCAGCGTCCCGACGTCTTAGCGCCCTAATCTCTTAGCGTCTTAAGCGGACCTTGAAGGAGTCGGGTCTGCACCGATGGACGGACAGAGATGTGGCAGGGCAGGTCCTGCAGTCCTCTGGCCAGAGCAGGACCAGGAGGACTGAGGGGTCCAAAGCAGGGAGCCCTGGGAGCTGTGGTCTCCTGGTGGGGGGTCAGGGCTCAGGGTGGCTGAGGAGAGCTGGGGTAGAGGTGAGAGATGGGGTGGGGCATGGCAAGGTGACCCACAGGGGTGCTGGGATTTGGATGTCTCAGGCTTGAGGAGGGAGCCCCAAGAAAATAGATCAGACCCCCCTGAAGGTCCCTGAGCTGACCGACCATACCCCCCCACCATCTCCATAGGCAGACGAGCCCTGAGGCGGGGAGGTGAGATGGCCCCCACCCCTTGCCGGTACCTTGCCTTCCCCGCATGGGGTGGTGCTCATTTTAATGTTACAATAACACAGGGGGACTCCATTGTGCACCATGAGATGGAGAGTCCCTGCTCCCTCAGGATGGGGCACCTGTGCCTGGGAGGAGGAGCAGGCCTGGCTGGGTGCCGCCCGGGGTGTCCCTGCAGGCTGTGTGACTGGCCCTCCAGCCAGAGCTCGGGCGGTGGCGTCCCCTCTCCCTGAACCCCCATAGTGCTCCCGTCTCCAGAGCCAGGGGCTTGGCTGGCCCTTTGGCTGAGCTTTGTCCCCACCCCGCTTCCCCACAGCCCAGGCATGGGCAAGACACAGGGTCGGCCACGCAACGGCCCAGTCCCCGCAGAGGATGAGCGGTGTGGACGAGACACAGTGACGAGGGAGGCAGACCCACAGTGCAGGGCAGTGAACAAGGCCCTTTCAGAGCTGAGTGGGCTGAGGGGCAGCACCAGAGCTGGGCCCTCCAGGAAGGCTTCTTGGAGGAGGTGCTCCTGAGCATGCTGGGAAGGAAGTCAAGGGCCTTCTGTCAGGGAAGCGTGGGCAGCAGCGGCAGGCATGGCTGGCCTGCCGACCTGGGGAGACAGTGAGTCGTCCGACCAGGTTGCAACAGTGGTTTTGCAGGGGCTAGGGCAGGAGCAAGTGGACCTTGGGAGCCTGGGGTGGGTTTCAGTGAGGAAAGGAGGAGTGAGCAGAGCTGGGGAGAGGGGCTGCGGTGGATAGAGGGTGGCTCCTGGGTGGGAGATGAGCCACAGCCTCCCTGTCCTGCCCCCAGACCCCCCCGGCTCCAGCCCTGAGGTGCTCTCCCCGCCCCAGCTGGAGGGGGAGCTGTCGGCCCTGGATCCCCAGGACGTCCGCGAAGTGGAGATTGGGAGAACCACCTGCTGGCGCGGTGAGTGAGGAGAACCCCAGGAGATAACCAGGGAACGGGGGGCCTGAGCACTGCCGTGTGCCAAATGCTCACCATGTGCCCTGACCGCCCGACTGTCTGGGACCCCCTTGTCCCGCCCGCTCCATCCCCGCACCCAGTCAGAGTCTCCTTACTGACAATTCCCGAGGTGCTGACTGCAGTCCGGACCCCTTCCCGGAGCCCCAGACCCTCGTAGCCACCTGCCCCAGGAAGGCTGTATGGACTCCTGCAGGCACCCGCACTGGACACGTCCAGGCCGGAATTCCTCATCTTCCGTTCCCCCACCTGCCCTCTGGCTGCTGTCTCTGACTGGTGGCACCACTGTCCCCCCGCGACCCAGGACAGCACCAAGAGGCATCCTGGACTCCCTCCTCCCCCTGTGTAACGCCCTGGCTTTACCAGCCTGTCCCCTAAATCATGTCCCTATCCCCTTGCCACTGCCTCCTGGGACTGCCTTAATCTCGGCCCTCAGCCCCTCACTGTTCCCCCGCCTACCCCT